GAGCCGGAATAAAGCCTGGCTTTGTCGGCCACGGCAGGTAGGGTTACAGGCTGAAACTGGCTCCCTTCGTTATCCCCTCCTGGACCAAACGAGCCTAGGGCACCGCCTCTTCCCAGTCACGTTTAATTAAGCCAGGTGGGCAATGCAGGGGTGTGAAGTCACCCTACCCCGGGGTGGGGGGGCAGCCCGCTCCTATGCAGCCAGCACACGTGTGCCCAGAGATTCGTTCCCCAGGTGGCCAGAGGGGGACCTGCCCGGTGGGTGCCCCCTGGGAGGTGGCACGCTCCCACCATGCCGTGCCATGCCATGCATCCTGTGGGGTGACGTTTCCTGACCCCCTCCTTCCCCAGGGCACATGTGCAACATCAACATCGACGAGTGCGCCAGCAACCCTTGCCACAACGGGGGCACGTGCAAGGATGGCATCAACGGCTTCACCTGCCTCTGCCCGGAGGGCTTCCACGACCCCAAGTGCCTGTCCGAAGTGAACGAGTGCAACAGCAACCCCTGCATCCACGGGAAATGCCACGATGGGCTGAACGGGTAGGCTGGAGGGCACAGGGGCTGCCTTTGGTGACCAAAATCGGGCTTAAAGGCAGGGCAAGCAGCTGCCCCCTGGGCCGGTGCTCGTCCATGCTCTGTGCTAGTGCCCGGGGGTGTTTCCCTGCAGGGGCATGATTAGGAGCTGGGGTTTGCTGGGTAAATGATGGCTGGTGTAGCCAGGAGGGCCAGGTCGGACCATATCATGTGCTTTATGCCCCAATTTTGCCCCAAAGCTACAGGTGTGACTGCGACTCAGGCTGGAGTGGGACAAACTGCGACATTAACAACAACGAGTGTGAATCCAATCCCTGCATGAACGGTGGCACCTGCAAGGACATGACCAGTGGCTACATCTGCACCTGCAGGGAGGGCTTCAGCGGTAAGGGTGCAGCCAGGGACACTGTCCTGTCCCCTCCGTGCTGGGGCCTGGGTGGGAGCTGTGGGTGTGCACCCCCATGATGCTAGGTGGGCTGGAGGCTTCGCTGTGGGGACGGTGGAGACCCCAGGTCTGGCTGGGAGATGCGGCAGTGCAGCCAGCTTGGGGGCCTTCAGCAGAGTTTGGGCATCTGCAGCTGGAGCTGAGAGCAGGAGGCTCTTCCACGGGCATGGGGGGCCATTGTCACCACGTCCCCACCGTACCCTCAGCCCCCTCCCACCAGCACACCTCCGTCACAGCCACTTTTATCTATTTTTCTTAACGCAGGACCCAACTGCCAGACCAATATCAACGAATGTGCCTCCAACCCCTGCCTGAACCAGGGCACGTGCATCGACGACGTCGCCGGCTACACCTGCAACTGCCTCCTGCCCTACACAGGTGAGGGGGAGAGCCCCATGTCCCCAGGCCCTCGCTGGGGCTGCTGCCTCGGGTGTGACAGCAAATCGGTCCCTCTGCACGTGCAACGAGCCAGCACCAAGCGCGGAGGCTTCCCTTGCGCTGCCCTGCCACGGGGCTGCTCACCGCTGCGGCTCCACCTCCCCGTGCCGTAAGGCAGCTGGAGGAAATTTGGAGGAGCTTTGGGAAGTGGCCAGCCAGAGCTTCCTCCCTCC